CTACTATTTCACCAAATGGGTGGAAGCCCAACCACTGGCCATGATCACAGCAAACAATGTCAAAGATTTCACGTAGAAACCAACAGTATGCAGGTTCGGTGTTCCCCATGTTATTGTTTCAAACAACGGGAAACAATTTGATATCGCTGTCTTCAAGGATTTATGTTCTCAGTTAGGAATAAGAAATCACTATTCTTCTCCCAGACATCTGCAGGCCAACGGGCAAGCCGAAGTCGCCAATAGGACAATACCCAGTTTAATTAAAAAAACAACTGGAAAAGGCAAAGGGGTTGTGGCCAGAGGAACTTTCAAGTGTGTTGTGGGCTTACAGAACCACTTCAAAAACCCTAACAGGAGAAATTCCTTTTCTCCTAGCTTTCAGGAGTAAAGCTGTGATTCCAGTGGAAACTGGTTTGGCAAGTTTCAGGACCACCAACTACGACCACCTCCAGAATGAAGAAAAGTTGTTAGTCAACTTGGATCTAATTGAAGAAAAAAGAGAGCAAGCCCAAGTTAGGGTGGCAGCATACCAGCAAACGATGTCCCGGTATTACAACTCTCAGGTGAAAGAAAAGAGGTTCCAGCCCTGGGATCTTGTTTTACGTAGGGTCGCCCAAGCCACCAAGGAACCGAACAAAGGTAAGCTCGCTCCCAGGGAAAGCCCGTATATTGTTCAAACGAAGAGACAAGGCACCTACTGGCTAGAAACATCAGGAGGAAAACAACTTGGCCATCCTTGGAATGCTGAGCACCTCACTATCAGTAGAATTAGAAATTAGTACTTGCCCTTAGTTTTATATTGTCTAGTGCTACTTCTAGTTAGTGTTACTTTTAGTTTCATTTTAGTATCGTGTCGCTTAGATTATTTTTATTCGTTACCATAAGTAATTTTCGGTTCGACTCTCAATAAAATCTATTTTTATCACACTAACTGTGCTAGTTTATATTTTTCATTTCGGTTTATCCTATTGATATAAAGTTGTCCCCGTATTATAAGGGACTAACATTAAAGTGCCCCGTACTATAAGGGCCCGGGCTAAATGAATCTCGTAATTGCCAACGGCCGGTGGCCTAGCAGTATCAACCTCTTACTTCGTAAAGGGAGGTCAGGGGTTCAACTCTCAGTAGAGACATGTGTGTGTGAGTACCAACTAGGAAAAAAAAATCCTATAATTCTTATCCCCGTACTATAAGGGATTCACATCAAAACGCCCCTTATTATAAGAGCTCGGGCTGAATGAATCACGTAATTCACGTCTCTGTATTACAAAGGATTGACACGAAAAATAAAGTGCTCTGCACTTAAGGACTCGAGATGAATGAATCCTATAATCTTTATCCCTGTACACACATGACCTACATTAAAAGGGTTAAGAAGAGGAGGCGGGCTATAGAGTTCGAAAAAAGAACAGATAATAGCATCGCCCAAGTCAGAGAAACTTCAAAATCACATTCATAACAATAATAAACATTATTCAAAAGGAAATACAATAAGGACAATCACACATTCAAAACATAAAATGCCCACTGGCTTGGGTCTCCTGGCTGGATCCTACTGGCTCGGGTCTCCCTGGTATGATCCTCCCTGGCTTGGTCCTCCCTTTCTTTATCCTCCCTGGGGAGGTCCACCCTAGCGAAAACCTCCTGGACTCCGGTCTCCAGGAGCAATTGGCCGAAAATGCTGGAAATTCAGGTCTTCATAGGTGGCCATAGCTTGGTGTCTGAACTCATCAAAACCGTCAGAAAACTAATTTGCATTGTTCAGGTTAAATTAAGGTGAGGCTTTGTACTCCTCCATGGCGGAAGATTTTGCAATGGTTAGTCTACCAAGGAAGTTCCTCTCGAGTCTTTCTTTCTCTCTAGCCCAACCGAGTTCAACCTCTTTGCGAGTTTCCCTTTCAGCTGCCAGTTCTGCGTCTAGTACTACTGCACTCTACTTGGAGAGCTTGGCGCGACGAGATAGCTCTTTAGCATATGCCCCCATCTATATGTAAAAGTAAAATTATTAGTTGTCAAAAAGGATTATATATTAATTAAGGGTAAAAGGAAGCAAGATAACCTTACCCAACAAACATTCTGGGCATGAAAGCATGTAAGGTACTTGGTGGGAAGTCCCTTGAGCCTTTCGGAATCATATGGATGCACCAACACGTTATCCACCATGTCATTCGCATAAGTCACATCATTTACAACGGATGCACCAGGTTAATGGGTAAACGCATTTTGAAGGAGGCGCATTCCCATCTCGAAGATCTGTTCGTGAGCAACTGCGAGAGGAGTGCTATCAGCTGGAGAGGGGTTCCCTTGATTTTGGAGTGGTCGAGTTCTCTTAGGATACCGAGGAGATGAAGTCTTCTCCTTCGAACGCTTCTCTTGAACCTGAGAAAAAACATCATTCCCAAATCTCCTCGTTGACAGGGTTGAATCGGAGCCCTCTAACGAGGCTTTGCTTTTAGAACGCTCTTCTTGAACTTGGGCAAAAATGTCTTTTCCAAATCTTCGCTCCGACAACATAATGAGTGAATCTAAGTAAGAAAAAATGAAATTAGTCTTTCAAAGAAAATAAAACAACCAGAGTCACATTAGAGTTATAAAAAGTCATACTTTTCTATAGAGGCTTGACAAAAATAAGTCATTACACCCTGACAAAGTCCAACAAAGAAGAGTGAGAACGGGGTCACCAAAGAGGAAAAAGACCGTAACGAATACCGCGTGGCTTTGTCTATATTTTCCTTTACTTTAGAGGGAGCACACGATGGGCGAAAACCTGCAAAAAGAAGTACATGTCATCTACCATGTAATAAAATGTGCATGCATAAGTAACTCACCATTGAGGTCTAACTGACCCCAAGTTCGGGGAACGGAGAATCTTAGTTTAGCATGGGTATATTGGTATGAAAATTCCAGTTCTTTCCTGAAACAAAGAAGAACTGGCTTCTCCACTCTGAATTAGATTTGGACTGTCCCTCAATTAAGAGACACTCACATCGGCTGGTCAGGTTCTACTACGATTGATCCACCCTCTTTGGAATATAACAAAGCAATACCTCGCTAATAGTTAAAGGAGGGTTACCATACGCTTTCCATAAGACAAGACACCCTATTAAAACCTTCCAGCCATTTGGGGTGAGTTGTCCTGGTGTAATACAAAGGAATGAGAAAAATTCCCTAATAAAAGGGGGAAAAGGTAAACGTAACCCAGCAAGAAAGGCACACTCAAAGAGATAAAGTTCACCATTTGGAGCCTCGGAAGCTCTTTCATGGGGAAGGGGAGCCTGGATATAAATACAAGAAAGAATGAAATACAAAAATCAGAAATTTTTCAGATCAGATTCCGAAATTGAAGACTGAACGTTGTCTCCCACGTTTACATTAACAATATCCATCACAAAGAGAAAATCAGTGGGAGAGAAAGAAAATTTACCTTGAGGATTATGAAGGTAGCATGATGTTCTTCCTCCATGCTCCTTAAATAAGAAGAACATGTGATTTTGAAAAAACAAAAAAAAAAAAAAAATAATGAAGGCGTGCCTGCACGGTCAATGATTCTTTTGCTACTGAAACATCTTTAACTTCTGCTCTTAAAGCATTTGAACTACTACTACTTTCCTTTCGTTTGAATTGCTACTACTTTATTTTCCTTTCATCTAATCTGCTACTGCTTTATTTCATTTCTTCTTTATCTATTTATTTCCTTTTGTCGGAACTGCTACTGTTTTATTTCATTTCCTCTTTATCTCCTACCACTTTATTTCCTTCTTAATTGATGGTACTTGATCACATGGGCTGAGCTGATGGTACTTAATCACATGAGTTGATAGTGATCAGCCACTATTTCAAACCTTCTAACGTATTCCATTCAAAATGCCACATGGCAGCCTCTCCTTTGCCTACCGCGTGGCAACCTCTCCTTCGCCTTCCGCGTGCCATGTGGCAGCCTCGCCTTCGCCTACTACATATGTATAGGGAGACTCCATATATCCAGTAGTGAATTATTTGATGCTATAAGATGTCCGACCACATCATTGTTGATAATTAATAACTATATATATATATATATATATGGTATAGCAATGTTTTTTAAAAGTAACCCATATTTATTTATTTTTTGCCAGTATTCTAGTTCGACTCTTGCAAGATTCAAAAAGCAGCATGCATCTGAATTTTGCTTTGCAGCATAACAAAAGGTCACCACCATGTTGCAATGGGTTATAGTTCAGATGGTATAAACTTTTCACCCCTTTGACGAGATTGAATGTTCGGAGCATTAATAAAGTTAAAAATATATAATGGATATGTCGTATGTGTGTTTGCTTAAATTTATGAAAAATAAAAATAAAAAATAATTTTAAAAATATGTGAGGCTGCAAAGAAATGGATTATACACAATTCCATTAAACGAGTCTAGCTTGAATAATATAATTCGAATGTGTTCTTAATCCTTTCAATGCTTATCTCAATCTCCATTTCCAGCATGAGTTTACGAATGACTTCAAATATAATCGATTAAACTCAAGCTCAATATTTATCCGGTTCATCTTCTAACTTTTTCAACTTATGAGGGCCATAGTGGGTAGTGAATTTTTTCAAATTAACATGGAAAACATTGTAACATTTGTTGGACTACTTTGTCTCCAATACTTGGTGCATTGGTAAAATGTTCAGATTATCAAATAAGATCATTCGAACCATTGTTGAAAATTATTAAAATTTTGTCTAAGAATATTCCATAAATTATTATAAAAATTATATATATATTATTTTATTGTCTTGACAAATAACTCCCAATTCTCTTAAAAAAAAAGAAAAAAAAAAAATTTATTTGACAAAATGAGAAGTGGAGAACTATTACAATAAACAAAAACATCTTTAGTACTTTTCCAATTTGGTTTTTTATACATAGCATTGAAAAGGTATATATATATATATATATATATATACATAACACATCATAATTTCATAAAATATGAATTTATTACCCATGATCCATCAGACCACTCTTAGTAGAGAAACCCATCAACCCACCCACTATCGCTTGAACCCACAATCCGAACCCTCTTACTAACCCTAAAATCATGACCCAACCCAACAGGCCCATTAACTGACAACCCTTGGCCCAAGCCCGCACAGCCCAAAGCCTGATTCTCCACCACCGCCTTCAAAGCCCTTTTCAACGACTCAGCACTTTCCTCCCCATCACCGCCACCATCCCGCCACTGCACCACCACCTCCGCCTTCGTCCGCCCCCCTATCGTCGCCATCTCCGCCCTCACCGCCTTACCCCCGACCGACCGGATCGCTTCCGTCAATTCCCGGTTCAGACCCGGCCTGTCCTTGCAGCACACCGTCACTTTTACCATCCTACCCTCGCCCCCCTCCTCACTGTAACTAACCGTCGCCTCGTCACTCTCGCCGGGAAACAGAAACGACCATGTCCCGGTGTCGCCGCCACCCTCCGCCACCTCCGCCGCCCTCTTACTCAGCTCCCTCATCTGACGCACCGCCTCCGTCAGTACCGTCGCCTTCACCGTCTGTTCAAATTTACAATACTGCCCTTAATAATAATTTTATTTAAGTGATGCTGTATAATATATATATATATATATATATATATATATATATATAGTGTGTGTGTGTGTGTATATATATAGAGAGAGAGAGACAGTGGGTGGGTTTACTTTGGTAGCGATGTCGGGGATGAGGAGTTGGCGGAGTGTTTGGATGTGGGTGTTGATTCGGTTTCTGCGGATGCGCTCTGCTACGGCGTGTTTCATGGACGCTTGCTCTGATTTTTTTCTCGTGATCATTGATCCTGAACTCGAGCTCGAATGATCTCCACCGTCCGTTTCCTTCTTCTTCATGCAAGTTGGTTCATGAAACAAAGCATTTCGATTTGAAATGCTCCTCAGACCATAGTAGTTCTCAAATGGAAACATATTGTTTCTTTTTCCCCTCTCTACGCATGTGTATGTCTATATATATATATGAAAATTGTGATTAGTTTTCTTTTAAATTAACATGTTTTTAAGTATAATAAATTGTGAACAAATTATGTACAAACCATATCATCACATTGGGCTTCGTATTTAAATGCTATTATTATAAAAAAATAATAATAATAAATTACGTTTAAATCATAACATTATAATAATTAAATTTGAAATATGTGTCGAATTAAAAAAATAATAATAATAAATAAATAAAGATACTCGTAATAATAATAAATAAATAAAAATACTAGTATTTAAATGATCCTATTATAAAAATGTATATTTCATCAAGTATTGGGAAGAAAATAAAATGAATCGGTTTGAAAGTGGCATTTAGTTTAGACAAAATTGATCAAAAAGAAGTGTGATTTTACACAAAATTTTGATGGCATAATTCTTATACAATTTTCCTTCAAATAGTGATGTATTTTTTTTCAAAATTTATACATAATCTAGTGGAAAATTTATATATTTAGTCTAGAGGCTTAAATAGGTTAATATTATTTAAATTAGAGAAATATTTCCATTAAATGGCAAATTAAGAGAAGCAAAACCATAAAACGAAGCAATAAAACAATGCTATTTATAGACATATAATGTGAGTATGTATAATGGATATAATATAATTGAAGAATAAATTTGATTTAAGGAAAAGGAAATACATGATCCAACTTATATTTTTGCAGCTTAATTTTATTTCATTTTATTTTTTGATTGCATGATAATTTGTGATGAATTAAAATTACAGAATAAATTATCGACCAATTACAAAGTGATACGTGAATAAAAAATTTGTTAAACATAAAATAAAATTGACGCAAATATCATGGATTGCTTCTTGACGTCTATAATCTCTCAATTAACATGGTAAGAAAGATGGAAAAAAAGGCGGGCAACCTAGAGAGAGAAAATTGGAAGTTTCGAGTTAAACAAGTAGTACACCGGTGGAAAGGAGGAAAGGCAGCCTTTTGATTCTGTCTTTTTTTTACATCAGACGGTTAAAAGGGTAAACATGAAACAGAAATATTCAGAATTTCAGACATACACAATAATGACAGAGGGGGTGGGTCCCATGGTATGACCGTAATATACGCTATATTCAAGTGCTATGGTTAAATTTGTGTTTTTCATAATTTATTTGCTCTTTATTTGAGATTTTATTTATGGTAATTAATTGGATAATTAAGATTCATGGGATTGGGATTAATTTGGTATTCTTACGAAGATTCAATCTTAATTAGGAAAATATGTCAATTAATGCGCTTTTATTTATTATTTATTTATTTTTTGAACAATGATGGTGTTCGTGTCTAATCTCATATAATTCACTATTAGATACATATGTCCCTTAACCTCACATGCACCGAATAATTAATGAGAGAATTTTCTAGAGTAGTACTCCCGGCCACATACAGTAATGTCCCGTGTATATTATATATTTTGCTTTGTGTAGGAGTGTTAAGCGTACTTTAACAATTTAACCTTCATTTAACCTCACTTTAATTAAATTCTTATTATGGAAATTCTTTAAATTTATATGCTGAATTTTAAAAAATGTGTTAGTATCTCCCTTCTTCTTCTTGTAAACATTTACATAAACATCCCTCAACTTATTTTTTTATTGTGCCACTTTTTGGTCATTTCATAAAATTGTGTGTGTGTTTTTTTAATTAATGCGTAAAATATCTTTATAAAAGCCCTTCACTTTTTCAATGATGTTCAAGCAAAAACATGTCATAATTTTATTTAGAACCTTCCTAATACTGTTGGGCCTTAAACAATTTAAGAGGGTTAGAAAATTGTTTAATTGAACAACCGTCGTCGTCGTCGTGGTGGTGGTGGTGGTGGTGGTGGTGGTGGTGGTGGTGGTGAGAAAGCGAAACGTGTCTACCACCCGACAGCAACTGTACTAACACTTGTAACAGTGGGGACAGCTTTAGTATTAGGAAATGATCAAAATGTGAGACAAAACACGTACAGTATCCATCTTTACCCGACAACCTCTTCCCATGTTACAGGCGTCTCTGATTATTTACGACGTAGCCTTTTTATTTTTATTTTTATTTTCTGTTAGTATTATTACAGTGCGAAAAATTGGACATTTAATGATGTTATCGATATTATTTTACTCGTGATCACTAATCCAAATCTTGAAAAGTAATAAAAAAAAAATAATTAAAAGATAAATAATTATTCGAGTTAACCTCTTAAGACGATGGTCTAAATTGTACTGGACCACAAAGGATTAGATGTGTTGGAACCAATCAAATTGACATCCTTATCTGCAATGAAACACGAAGAATCACAAATATAAATACTGTTTGTGTGTGTGTGTACATATATATATATATATGTATGTATGTATATATACTGTTTGTGTGTGTGTGTGTGTGTATATATATATATATGTATGTGTGTGTGTGTGTGTGTGTGTGTGTAAGATGTGGTCAGAGGAGATCAGTTCAGGTGGTGGAGTAGTACTACTGATTCTGAAACATAGCAGAAAGAAATTCCAAAACAATGACCACCCAATTCCAAGTTTTATGTTTTTATCCACGCTGCAATAGGGATATATATCCATGTCTCATAAATCAAACCAGACTTCTCATACCTGCCACTTTTTTTCTCTCTTTTTTAACCTTTGAAAAAAAAAAAAAAATTATTATTATTTTTTTTTCAATACAGAATTCTTGTTGGGTAAAGTGTAAAATTTTGGATAGCAAGTTTGAAAATAGAATGGGTTATTATGACCTTCATTTTGTTTTTGAGTAAATTTGCTTTAGTGGTCATTTCTTTGAGTGTGAAAAGTCAAGTTTGCTCCTATATTATAATAACATATTATATTACCCTATTCTTCCCATATTAGTTGTTAATTCTAAAAATTTTGACTCACAATTTTTTTGAGTCAAAGTTAACGAAATAGACCTCTAGTATGAGATATAGATAGTATATAAGTATATTAAAAGAATATAACTAAAAATAACGTCAAATAATTCAAAAATAAAAGGTGGTAGTGAGTCAGAGTTTTTCAAATTGACAACTATTATGAGATAGAGGTAGTACAACTCTTTGTTAACTTTTATCTACATGACCTATATATAATTTGTCCAAATTTTAAGAAAAGTTGGTGTAACATTTAAAAATATTCACTCGAAAGTATTCAACAAGTTCACTGTTACAGTTGCCTTCTTAATTAACATTCTAGTAATCAACAATAATTTCTTGTTCTTCAATTTAATTGAAAATGGAGTATTTTTAAATGGGAAAAAAATGGAGTATTTTGGAGTGATAAAAAAAATTAAGAAATAAAAAAAAAGGATGCCATTACAATGGGTTAGTATTGTCCTTAAGAGTTATTATTCTTATTATAATTTTTTCATTTCCTATGTTTAGCATGCAAGTTTGCACACACTCTTAGGGATAAAATATCCTGTACAATTAAAGCCATCAAGTTGTGAAAATAATTTTCATCATGATTTTAAATAGATTATACCAAAAAAAAAAAAAAAAATCACTTATACACAGAATCTGATTTATGGAATGATCTAATTTACTGTCACTAAGAAAAAAGTAATGTAAATCATTGTTATTCCATGACCTTATGTTATGTTTGGTTGGAGGAAATGATGGATTGATGAATTTTTGTGTGTTTGGTTGGAGGAAAGGAAAGAGAGGGAGGAAGTAAAGAGGGATACTTTACTTTTCTTCATATGTTTTTATTCGTCCAATTTTGGGAGAAGGGAGGAGAGAGAAAGTGAATAACTACCTACAAATACATAATTTACAATTTTAACTTTTTAAAAAAAATTTAAATGGGTATCTATTTTACACATTGAGAGTATACTGGTAAAAAAATATAAAAACTCTTTTTCCATTACTTTTAACCAAAATAGATATATATATATGACTCCATCCATCAATTTTAGGATCCATTTCATTCAACCAAACAAAAAATGGCAGACACTTTTCCTTTCATAGGGATTCCTCATCCATTCCTCTCCATTTCTCTTCCATTCATTTTTCTATCTCTCTAACCAAATGGAACATTAATTACATTAAAGACCATCAGTGTACCTTTGGTTTTCAAAAATATCATTGTCACGTGAAGAAAAAAAAAAAATAAAAAATAACCTCTCATCATTATAAAAAAAAAAAAAAAAATTATGGTAATCAAATACATATTAATTTTTTTTTTTATTTTTTTATTCACTTTCTTGGCTTTTATTTTGTGACTTTATAGATGGTTCATAAGATGTATCATTTCCTTGAAAAACCAAAACCATGGCATGGAATCGTTGATGCATGAACAGCTTTGTCCAAAAATGTCATCCTGTTTGATTCCTGGTATCCGGAATGTCGTCCTTGTTATTCCACTATGTATCCTGAGCGTGGGACCAACTCATGAATTGTCTTTTGTACCCTCCTCTTTCAGATTTAAATTGAAGGTTCTGAAAATTAAATAAATAAATGAAGAGTACTGCAATTATTTTGTATTGCGAAAAATAGGACCTTCTAAATGAAGACAAAACAAAAAGGTTGGAGTATCCAACAAAAATTGTGTCCTTTTAGTGACAGAAGATTTTAGAACTTAGAACAGTATCATATCATGTGAGTAGTGAATAAAAGGTTTGCTGTCCTAAACCTAGAACCTTCTTAAGTCTAGAGGATAAGTGTTACAAGGGATTTGTCTCACATTGAATCCAAATAATTAGAGGTGCACAAAAAATTAATTAAACTGATAAATCGAATCAAATTGGTAGATTTAGTTTGAGTTTTTTATGGTTCGACTCAGTTAAGGTTCCAAAAATATAAAACCTTTCATAAACGGCTCGTTTTGTTCAATTTAGATGGTGGTTCTTACCAAGGGTAAGGTCTTTTTTTCATATGCATTATATCAATATTTGATAGTGTGTATACAGTACTCCCATTTAGTAATTTTATATGAT